ATCTATGGATGCATCCATATGCCAACTGCACCCATATTTGAATATCAAGCTATAAATGGAATAGGGTGTTGCACACCGGTGGTGTATAGTTACTGGTACAGCATAGGTGTATAGTGTATGGTACACCATGGGGAACTAGTGCATGGCAGGATGTACCACCATGGGATTTATTCTCTTCAAGTTCATTACAAGTGTGATATGAGATCCATACTCGTGATGTATTTATTGGTCTACACAAGTAAATATTCTTGGGCGGCTTGTTATTTACGAACAAAGTCGCCCAAAAAAATTTACTTATATTGGCCAACAAGTACATCACAACTATGGATGTTGGGTATAAATATTCAATAAAGTACTTTATATTTTACATAAAGAGAAATATATCTACAAGCCAAAAGTTTCAAGAGCAACGCTATTACAACTTTTGGCTTGTAGTTAGTAATACTCCACGAATTCCAACAAGGGAGCAACTCATGCTCTCGAGTTTATAGAAATATAGTAGACCACGATAATATCCATGATGCCTTCAAGGTTGAATGGAGAGATCAACTATACCATAACAAAGATACACACAAATTGTATGAGTCCCATAGTCACCAAGATTAGACTGGACCTGTTGGTCTGACTAGCTTGACTACTGAACAATATTTTGGTCAGTATAGTCTAAAGTAAAAACAAGGTTTAATTGAAAACCGATTAAAGCTGTTGTTCGACCGATATAGTCTAAAATAAAAATATGTTTTAATTAAAAATCGATTAAAACTGTTGGTTGACCGATTTTGACTGATCCAACCCACAAGTTCTAGCTAATTGGACCGACAAAATAAATTGGACAAATTTTTTATAATATAAATTATATTTTTACACTATTATTTATAACTTTCTTTTTATATTTGAAATTTGATCCTACCAATATGAACGGCATTCAAACCGTTTTTGGTTGTGCCAGTGTGCTGATTCTCATCAGGGTCCTGATAGGGGTCATTGTAAATCTATTTTCACTTCCTTGATGAATTCGTCATTGGGGCTTACAGTGAATTCATGGAGCATTTATAATGCTTAAAATTACGTTCAATTTTGAAGCGGCACTTAACAGCCTCGGAAACTCATGGCTTCTCTCTCTCTCTCTCCATTGCATCTTTCACTCTGTTAAATCACTTAGAGAGAGAAGTAAAGGACATTAAAAACCATTAAAATAACCAAGAGAGAGACGAGAGAGAGAATGAGAGGAAAAGGGGCAAGGTGTTCGAACCTTCTGATCAAATAAACAAAATTCAATATTCATAGCTTGTGGCAAAGGCTTCCTTCCTATCCTATTTGGTTTCTTTCATAAAAAAGGGGTTATGAGAAATTTTTCTCTCTTCTCTAGTGAAGAGGGATGCGAGAATGAAGGGGCCAAATATGACAGCCATTTCCGGTATAACCCATCAGAAAAAGGAGGACGATTAGCCTACAAACCTCGATTAAATTAAATTAATAAATTACCGTGTTCTGATGGGAGGACGATTAGCCTACAAACCTCGATTAAATTAAGTTAACAAATTATGAAACACGGTTGAATATCCTCACAGCAGATTGAACAGCAGTCAATTCATCTGGCTCAACCAGCTTATGAATGCCGCCTACAAGTAATCGACCTTCAAAATGGCCTACTTCTCTTTCTTCATCAAGCATTTCCTCCCCCTCCACCATCACCCTATCCTCTTGAGGCAGTTCCTCCCTCTCTTTCCTCATTTTTTTAACACCTGATGCCTGCGACAAATCAGGCTCACCACTTAAACATCTCTTACAGCCTCTTTCAGCAACCTCTGCATCTGTTGCTCCATATTTATTAGCAAAGCTCAATTCAGACTGGCCTCTGTTTCTCATTATTTGATTATTCTCCAAAATGTCAGATTCTCTTTCTAGAACAGGCATGATCCCTGAAGAGCTGAACTGGCATGGCAACATACCAATTGGACATTTATTCCAAGACTTTACGATGGACCATGCTGTTCTATCACTATCCATTCTATTGCTCCTTGTAATTTTTGAGTTTAGAAGCACACTTCTCTGCTGTTTAAGCAACTCTAACTTTCTCACTGCTTCATTAAGTGATGCTACTTCCGGTTGGAAAGTTTGGCTGGGGCATGAGCTCTCAAAAGGGTTCGGCAGGTGTAAGTTTGAAAGCTTCTGAACTTTATCAATGAGTGAGTCATTCCCCAACATCTGAGAAAGAATCAATGCTGATTCGGAAAGAGCATCTCCCATGGCCAAGCTCTGAAGGCCAGTGCCCAGAAGCGCTTTTAGGGTTTCTTTTGGAATGTAGCCTGATTGTGATGATAAACCTTTAGTTTTAGCTGTAGATTTTTCTGGGCGACGCAATTTCTCTATATTCTTGAGAAGCCAAGAAGACAATGAAGCGAGATGTCTGATTTGATTGAAAGTCTCATCTGGGTAATGCAATAAAATCGGTTCACCTGCAAAAACCCGTGAAAATGATTCCTCAGAAAAGACAGCTTTTTCAAATCTGAAAGCTATTCAAACATATTTGTCACAAATTTTGGACTCTTATTTATCATCTAGAATGGGTAACTAAAAAATAAGTAGAACTCCAAATTATATTTCAAATGAATAAGCATCTTTAAGCTAAAATTCCAGTAAAACCCACCATTCTTGGATGCAATGGTTTCCAATGTGATGATCTTCTCAAAGACTGCCCCAAGTATTGTAACTAGAATCTGAGGTTTCTTTCTAGATATTATGAGCATGACCTCCTTCCAATACCTAGCAGTCAAAAAGGGGGTTCTCACATGACCTTGACCGCTTTTTTCTTCGCCTTCATCGGAGAATTCAGAAGTCTTCATCAGAAACTCATCCAACAAAACTGTGACAACCTCCAAGGGGTAAGCTGAATGAAGCCGAACCAGGCTCATTGAGATTCGTGACATTCTTTTAGTAAGACCTGCTAACAGGAATACGAAAAATAAATGCATCAAAATTGGAAAACCCTTCAGTTAATCATAAAAAGTTGGAAATCTTAAAGTATGACCTTTTTTAACTGTTTTTCTTAATAGTGTCATCACCTTTTTTAAAATTAATCCTAAAAATTACCAATCTATTTGACATAATACAAACAATTATTTTTCCCCCTTAGCATGGAATTTGAGCTGCAACTTTATATGGTGTGAGACTAAAAGCTCCAATCCACTTCCTTATCAAAAAGGACTCCAAACTAGTCTATTATGACTACTAATTCATTTTTCTCCTAACTTATAATAAGATCATAAACCCACATCACTAGTTGTTTCTTTGTGACAATTCCACATGACTAGCATATCAAGCCCATTAACCAGATGTAAGCAGGGCAGCTATATAATTGATTTCACAGTGAGATCCATAAATTACCAATCGTTCACAACAAATTTTGGTAAAATAAAACTATTTTATGGAATTTAACACCTTATTTTTCCCAAACCTACTTTCATATGATTGCATAGTTGTACATAGATGTGTTTGTGTCAATGAAAAACTTATCCATACTTTTTGCTTGAATTCTCCATACTTGACAAAAACATTTCCAATAGACGTGCATTTTGCAAAGTCACACTGGTTATTCTATACAATGGAGAAGGCCGTCCATGAGACATAAAATCAAATATCTTTTATTCATAATTTTCAACTAAATAAAAAAGAATGTTGAACACACAAAAAATAGCGCTTTAAATGAAGTACCTGTCGATTTGCATGGCTGAATTTTACTGGCAAGATGAGAAATAAATTTGTTTGGCACCCAATGTGGTTCGTGCTGCTTTACACTTTTAGAGGACAGTTCTGTCAGAAAGTGAAGTTAGAGAACAACACCAGAAGAGAAGATGAAAGAGTTTGAACTACTAAAACTTTCAATAAACAAATGTTAACGCAATAAAAGTAAGATTGGACTAAAAGAATATTAATGAAGTAAAGCATAGCATGCTCCCACATGTTTCCTACAATATCATATTCTTCAAAATCCTCGATAAAATATGAAAACACCCTAATTATTAAGCTTAATATGAAACTCCAGTAACAACAGTCTGCTGTATTCATTTAGAATTACACAAATACATTAATAAAACTTTGTGTGGCATTGGACAGGCAAGTTTACTTTTTTGGTTTTTACTCTCTCTCTCTCTCTCTCAGCAAGTTTACTTTTTAGTTTTTACTTTCTCTCTCTCTCTCTCTCTCTCTAAAAATTTACTTTTTCAACCTACACCCCTAGGCCTTAACTATATTGGAAAGGCAAAAAAGACCACCACAAAATGGATACAACTGATTGAAAAATTAAACAGAAGCCCATTTAATTTCTTCACTAAAGTAGGCTACACCTGCCATTAGGCCTGGACCAACTGCCCTGGTCGGTCAAGGCATCAACACTGATATTCTCAAACTATATTCCCCAGTTTGATATTGGTTTGACGGTCCACCGGTTCAGACAAATTGAACCAGCTCGTTCTGACTGGTCTTAATTTCACTATTTTTCTCTGACACTCTCAAACAATAGTTTTATACCTATTTGAAGCATAAAATTATAAAACCAATGTGAACCAACCAAATATGAAGACACAGTTCATAATATGAGTGACTAATGAGTATATGATTATTACTAGGATAATCTATGAACAATATCTCATACCCAGAAAAGGAGAAGAAACTTCCCTTACATAGAAGTGGGCAATTATTCCTAGATAAACAATACAGAAATTCTAGATGTCTGAAGCATTAATTGGCTCACCTTGCTTGTATTTTACACACAAAGCCATCTTAAGTAGCCTAGCTCTGATTTCCCTATGAACATCAGGTACTGCATTCTTTTGAGGCTCCCAATAATACGACTTCAACCAATCAAGTGCCTAAAATTCAGCACATGACAAGAATTTAGTACAATAACATGCAATATCTTGGTAGTATATATTATAGTTATCAAGACCAGACCAGATCACCTGGTCGAACCGCCAACTAATGCCTTAGCTAGTCTAGTCTAAAACAAAAACATGGTTTAATAAAAAAATGGTCAAAATTAGTGTTTGGCCGGTTGGCCATCCCCACTATCAAGTTTTGACCAGTTTGATCAGGTAAACAAATTTTAGAATTTTTCTAATATGTTTTTTATATTTTTAAATTCTTTTGTTTATTTTTTTGAAAATCTAGTCCAATCAGTACGACCAATTGGTCAAACCGCTTTTTATTGTACTAGATCCCTCACTAGTTCAGTTCCCAGTTTAATCCTGATAACTATGGTTATATAGTCTATTCAACATATATTAGATTAAGAAGTTCACGTGAAATGAGAAGAAAATCTATATCCCCTAAGCAATTGAAGTGAAGAAATTAATCATGAGAAGAAATAGGAAATCACACATCTAATAGCAATAGTGGAATTCATTCATGACAGAAATACCTTCACACTTGCATGTCGAAGCAATTGAAGTGAAGGAAGTTCACGATGGGCACACTCTGTAAGATGACAAGGATGTAAGAGAACATGTTAATGCAAGCACTTTCTAATGCAATGCATCAATTACAATTAACATCAGACCGTCACAATTATCATGAAGGCATCAAGTAGGCAACCAAAGAAAGAGACCTCTCACCATGACGAATGTCAATCAACAAGCGAGGAAGGCCAATTGCCTCAGCTGCATCAGCAATAGAAACTCTCATTTTCTTATGCGACTGCTCAACAAAACCATTTACAAGCCTTCATGAATGACAAGAAGTTCTGTAAGAATTAACATTCAACCTTATTCATTGTAAAACTTACGAATCAAACTTGCACCAAGGATAAGTGAAAAGTGAGCTAAGGTGAAAATTTTCTGCTTTTTTCTTTTAACTTGACAAATTAACATTCACGTAGTGACAAAAGATCAATCGGCAAGGGAGAAAACTTAACACCTTCAAATCAAGACTCATAAAAGGTAATTGATAGGAAAACTACAGCAAAAAAATAGTCATCAAAGCAACCAACTAGAAATTGGATAAGTCACCTCATAATCGCCATTGAGTAAGCCATGGCAAGAATTTCTTCTGAGTCCAGCTCGTTGTCATGACTGCAAACACTGTAGGACAAATAAAGACAAGCATATGATTAAACTCAGAAGCATGAAAAATAAGGACAATCTCATATAAAATCTAAAATAGGAAGTTTCTAGAGAGGCTAATATTACATCACCATGTTTTGCAGAAAATCTTTTGAATCATGTATAAAAACTAATTCACATCCTGCGACAGAATTCTTCAAATGGTGGAACCAGTTATATGAAGATGTCCTAGAAACATCTAATTTCTGCTTCATTTGTTAATTTTAAATAATAAACACTGAAAAATTGGCAAATTATTGTGACTGAAAGTGCCAATTATCAAATAAAACTAGAAAATGAATAATTTAAATATTAATGACCAAGAAATCTGTGGATTATATTGAAAATTCAACTTCTCGAATGGACTATAGAAGGAACAAATTAAAAACAACGATTTGACAAGATGAGGGAAACATCAAACAAAATTAAAAAATAAGATAGAAAAGCATAGAACTAGAAAATGAAAAATAACAATCGAATATAACTCCAAAACAAATAATAAAAATGTACCTGAAGAAGGGATCCCTTTGTTGAATTTCCACAATAGCTGCAGTGATTGAAACTGAGATTGGAAGGCAGCCTCTGCTTCTCCAACCCACTATCTATAGAAAATAAAAATAAAAAACATATAAGTTTAACCAAAATACGATGCTTCAATCTTTTCAATGAGGGGTAAAACCCAAGATTTAGCTAAATAGAATAATATAAGAATAGTCTACTTAGGGTTTTCCCTAAACCCTAAAATTCAATGCGATGATGAGAATCACTCATGTGACTTTCAAGCAATGCAATCATCATCATAGAAGCCTTTTTCCAACTAATTGGGGTTGGCTACACAAAACCTGGTCCACCGTTCTGCTCTATTAAGGGTCATAACCTTAGTGAGACCATAAGTCCCCATATCTTTTCTCACTACTTCCAACCATGTCCTTTTGGGCCTACCCCTTGTCCTTTTTGAGCCTTCCACTTGAACTAACTCGCACCTCCTAACAAGTGTTGTATTGGGTATGTGCCACACATTGCCAACCCACCTAAGTCTACTTTCTCTCATCTTATTTTCTATTGGTGCCACACTTAATTCTCCCGAATGTATTCATTTCACTTTCAAAGAATGTGATGCTTAGAAAAAAATTACGGCCAAGCAGTTATTCACAATTGGTTTTACTCATTACTAAGTTTTCCATAAACCCTAGAAATAAAAAGTAAAGTATAAAATGAAAATGTTGAAGGCGTCAGGGTTTCAGGTACCTTTTCTAGAGCACTGGAGACTGAGGCCGGAGACGAAGAGAGAAGTTTTTCTCTCACAAAGTTCCATTGATCCCAACTCTGCCATGGAACAAGCTTGTAACCATAGGAGAGGTCCTTCTCTTCTTCTAATATTGTGATTATTGGGTCTTCCTCCATTGAAACTCTCTCTGCCATAAACCAGTGTTGTCAGGATTGGACCGTTGACTGAACCAGTGAGGGCATCAGTCTAACTGGACCAGCCAAACTGTACCGGTTCACTGGTCAGACCAATATATTGAATAAAATAATTAATAAAAGGGGGAGAAAACAAAGGAAATTATAAATAATAACAAAAATATAAGTAAAATGAGTAAACGGTATCTTTTAATAGGTTTAAATTTTAAGTCTCTTTCATGGTAGGAATTCACTATTTTGATTTTTGAAAAATCAGCATAACAAACTGCATAAAAGATTAAAACGTAAGTATCCCTAATATCAGAAGACCCATCCAATTATCCCTAAATTAAAATACCCCTAATAAAATAATAATACCAACTTCAAATTTTATTTAATTATTTAAAAGAAAAAAAAAGTCAAAAAACAGAAAATTCTTGCTTGGAGGAAGTGGCAATGACTTTTAGATAGAGAGACCACGAAAAAAGAGAACATAAAAACCCAAAAAAAGTCATGTAAAAACCTAAGAAAATGCATTTTCATGTGAAAATAACTATGAAAAAACACTCCCATATACTGGATATTGGATTGGATTCAACTGTCACAAATCAAGAGATTCAAGGCTCTCTTTAGAAGATTTATTGCAAAACCCCCAAAAAACTGAATTTTTCCTCTTTTCTTCCCCAATAATAAATCAAGCAATCAAAATAGCAGTTGAATGCACTTATTGTCCTTCAAACGAGGACAGATTGATGGTCACCGACGAAAAGCCCCAAGGACTATACAGTCTTCATGTAAAGAGAAAAAAAATTCCCTGAGGGTGCATTTGATAACTTTCTCTTTAGTTTCCCTGGGATTCTCTCTATGCTTTCCTGAATTTTGGGAAGAAAGTGAAAATTGGTAGCCTGAAAGCTGGGAACCCTGTTTGATAAACTGTGATGCCGCTATTTTCACTTGTTTGGTAGTGGGAAAGTAGGAAACAACCTGTTTTAACCGTTCATTATGTATTTCATTGATTTGATGCGCAAAATGTATTTTTTGAATAAGATTTTCTTGCTACAACCCATCTAATGCATTTCTTACAATGTATGGTTAAGATTGAAATTTAATCTCATATTTATGTTAACTTAAGAGAGAAAAACCCTCAATAAAAAAAATCAAATTTCAACCACAGGAGTACACCAAAAAAGACAAGTACATAACATATCAAAAGATCACCATGAAAGTTTTATGAAACTCAAGGCAGGACAATATTCCAAAAGCATGACTATATTCTGTTACAACTCGAGGCAAAAGATATGAACATATATGGAGAACAGTAATAACTTAGTAGAATTCCATGTAATCCACTGTGGATCATCATCATAGCCTTTTCCCAATTAATTTGGGATTGGCTATGTAATCCACTATGGATTCAATGATATACTTGCATGAAAACATCCATTCAAATCAATTATGGATCCCTCAAGTATTTTCACGCCAAAACTTTCATAAATGCATAACTTATAAAATGCAATGGTTGAGATTGAAGTTTGCTCTTATATTGTGCAACACCCATTGAATATTTAAATTCCAATAAACAGGCAGAGCATGTTGACAACTGGAAGTAAAACACCGACCCTAATCCAAAGAATGAAAATTAACACAATAATTTCTCCCAGAAAACCAAACAACAGGGGAACAAATTTCATTCGAACTACTCATTTGAACCACATAGTCCACCCATAGCAATTCTACATAACTATAGCAATAATTCGCAAAACAATTATGGAACAAAATAATTGACTCATCAACTTATCCATGGCAGAAATTTCCAAAAAAGTGCATAAGAAAAAATGAGCACTGATGATGAATAAATCACAGATAAACTGAATATAATATTCATGGAAGAGTCCTAAGATGTGAAAAACTACAGAAATAGCAAAGCAATCAAACAATAAACAGATGAATAACAGATCAACAAGGTCGCCAACTATTAGCGGATCATGAAAAACCAGAATCAGATCACATCAAAACATGATCGAATTCCACTTCAAAAACACGTTAAAAAATTAATGGAACCTCATAGGAGGCACATGAACAGCACCTCCAAGGAAACAATAAAGAATCGCACCTCACAACACAGTGTATGAAAAAATTTACCAATATGAACATGCCATTCATGGTAAAAAGACAAAAAATGCAGAAAATTTGAAAAAAAAGAAAAAGAAACTAGACGAAAAACCTGTGAATGATTCTTCAGTTAAATGAGTAGAATAAACCAACTTGACTCTGTTAAAGTTGGGTATTGATATTCCGTACAACCCCTTTAATAGAAAAACCGTATACTAGATTTAGGTATTCTCTAATGCAAAACCATAATTAACAGCAAAACCCTGTTAAATATCTAGAGAGAGATCAATGAAACCTCAAACGACAATGTCAAGATCAAAGTTCTAAAGAGAGACTCAAACCCATCTGAAGATTCAATAATATCTAGAGACAACGCAAAATGAGGCTGAGAAAAACCAGTTTCAGAAATTGTAGAGAGAGAAACAAAGAGACCAAGACCAAAACCAAGAGAGAGAGGGAGATATGGATGAGCATACCTGCTAGGGTTTCTGAATGGCGAGAGCAATGAGAAGAGAGTGAGCTTCGGGCGAGGAGGAGAGAAGTTGCAGAGCTGCGTCTCTGTGGGCCGAGCAGCAATGGTAGGTTGAGCTTGGGGTTAAACCTCGGTGGAGCAATAGTAGGGTCCCGATGGTCCGCCGCTTTACTTAAGGGAACAGTAAAAACGGGAAAAATAGAAGTTTGGAAAAAGGTTATATAAGGTTGGAACGTAGAACTACACCTAAAAAATCCATGAAAATAAATAAATTAACCTTGAAACCCATTGATGCGATGCATGAATATAAAAAAAAAAAAAAAATCAGTCCAAAAAATAATGCATCTTGCAGTATATTATCTAAACGGTTTATTTCAAGATTTTTATATATTTATAGATCTACTTGATTTTTATTATTTTTATAGTTTAAAACTTTGCAATTAATAAATTTTAAAACAATTTTTAAAAAAAAAATTTACACTAAAATTATATGTTATATTAAAATTTGGAGATGCGCTTTTAATTAGATTGTTTAAGGTTGCAACCTTATAAAAACCACACCCAGAAAGTTTTGATTTCTTTGCATTTTATTATGTACCTGCTTTTTACATGGTTAAGCCAAATGTTGGCCTCTTAATAAATTTATTTGTTGAGATGGATTTTCAGAGGTAACTTTTAAAAACATGTAATCTCTAAAAAGGAGATCATGAATAAATAAATAAATTTTAAAAACTAAAATAATAATTCTAATAAAAAAATATTTGAACCGTTGGTTTTTATTATTTTTAAATAAAAAATCTACTTAAGCTTTAAACTTTCTAAACCGCATGTATAGAAATGCTTTCCAGCCCACATGAAACAATTTTTCAAAAAAGGAATGAAAATTACATTACGTAGGAAAGTTAAACTGCTGCCCTTCCACTCTCTCTCTCAAATTCGTTCCCTATGACTTAAGTCTCCTCTTTAATTCAAAATGACATAAATACCTCTTAATGATTTAAAAAAAACCAAATAAAATATTTAAAAAAAATAGCATTTTCAATAAAAATAAAGAACATTGGGCCTACGAGTTCGAAACCAAAGCGGTGGACCAGCCAGTCCACCGGTTAGACATCAGACCCAACTAGCGCCTGGTCTAGTTCCGATCAAATCGGATAGTTATTCGTTAGTGGTTTCGATTTTTGACTGGTTTTGGTTTTAAAAAAATAAATAAATAAAATTCAATAAAAATTTAAGAAATAAGAAATTTTGTTTGTAATATATTTTTAATGTTTTTCATCATTATGACAAATATTGAAAATTGTTTTGGATATTAATATTTATTTTTATATTTTCCTATTTTTTTATAAAATTTCAAAAAATACCTCGAACACAAATTGATTATTTAAATTTCATTTTTTTAATTAATTTTCAACTTTATTTAGATATGTTTTGTTTAATCATTCTTTAAATATAATTTTTATAATTTATTAAAAAAAATTATATTTTTTTATTTTTTCAACACTTTTTTGACCGTTCAAGACTTGTCCAGTTAAAACAGTTGAATCGACCGATTTAAGAAGGTTAAAACGCTTTCAAGCCCATGTTCGTTCGATTCAATTTTCCTGGACTGACAGATAAACATAGGATGATCATATGAAACATAAACATTATAATCATAAGAATGGTACTTTTTGGACGGCGATTAAGTGATCAAATGCCAAATAATGAACTCTCTATCTACGGTCAAACCTTTTGATTGGATTGTGATGATTCGTATTGTCAAAAATGTTATCACGCTCATATGGATCATATTTTTTACATGGAATTGCGTTTATGGTAATTCATCAAACAATCGTGTTACATGAACTATTTACCATCTCGTCCGTATAATTATTAATTAGTTCCATCTAGTGATATAATTTTTAGGAAAATTGTTTTCATGCGGGCTGGACCGCATTTCTACGCATATATTCCAGAAAGCGTAAGCATCCTCTTAAAGATGGATGCAAGTAGGTGTTCCCTCTAAAAGTAATAGAAACTAACGGTCTAAATGTTTTCTTATTAGAATTATTATTTTTAGTTTTAAAAATTTATTTATTTTTCATATTCATGATCTCCATGCTAGGGATTACATGTCTTTAAAAATTACGTCTTAAAATCCATCTCAAAAAATAAATTTATTAAGAGGCTCGCATTTCTACATGTGTAGGCTTGGCTGCATAAAAACCATATACAAAGGAAAATTGTTTCATGCGGCTAGACTACATTACTGCATATGCAGTCAAGAAAGTGTAAAGCATCCATCTTAAAAATGGATGCAAGTAGGTGTTCTATCTAAAAACAATGGAAATTAACGGTCTAAATGTTTTCTTACTATAATTATTGTTAGGTTTATGTGGCATTTAAAGGTTTTATGAGTGCTTGTAAAATGAAACAATATAGTGCAACATGAACTCAGTAGGAGTGTGGTCCCTCGTGGACCATACTAAACAAACGATGTTTATTGATACCGAACTGTACTAGACGATCTAGGCCAATTGGTTGGGAAAAATTCATGTTACCTGGGCATATAGAACAAATCGACTAGGGTTTTAATGGGTCATCCCTTGATGAGGTCAGAGCATATGCCCCGATGAGTGAGCTGGGGGATTGTGTGACCCTTGTATGTGATGGTGACCTACAGATACGGTTGTCAAATCCTCATCCATGTACCATCACATGGTATGCATATTGATAGATCTTTTGAGAAAACAAGTCAGCCACCTTTCAGGGTGAAGCATATGCATGTGCGAAAGATACCCCTATGTACCATAGGAGTTGTGATCGCATTAGGTCTAGATGACCTTGACTCATCTCTAAGAGAGGACTTGAAATCCGAAGACTGGGATTGCGACCCCTTGGTTCATCGGTCAAAGTTTGGTGACCCGCTAATGAGCCCCTACTTGGACTGTGGGTCATGAGAAACACTGAGTCGGTCTGATAAAGCAAGTGTGGTCTTTAGTCTACAGTTGAAGGTGGAGTGCCATATGATTGTTGATTTAATTCCTAAACCATATGGATCATTTTCTCATCAAATTAATTTAATTGTGTTTGTTTTATGATGGAAATTATTTTAAAAATATTATTTAATTTTTTATGAACCCTTGGATATTTTATTGATACTTTTTTTATTTATAAAATTAAAAATATTGATTTTACAATGGTTTAAATATTTAAATAATATCCTAATTTTTTTTTATTTTAAATATATAAAAATATCATGGGGGCCCGTTGTGTATATAGGCCTACCATATTTCTAAAAGGTGGGGCTCATGAGTCCCTCCCTTGGGGGCCACGCCCCACCCTTTTTCTCTTTTTTATTTTTGTAGTGCTATGACATGTGAGCATATGGTTTGAAGATATTGACTAAATATTGACTTGATGTATCTTTGAAATATTTTGTGGAAAGATTGAGTAGACTTGAGTTATTTTATAGTATGCACAATATTTTGATTAAATTTAATTTATTTAATTTTTATTGATAGGAAAATAGTTTATGAAATTAATTTATTTAATTTATATTGATAAGAAAATGGTTTAGGAAAGGGGGATAATTATTCATACATCTTCTATAATATTGATGGCCCATCTATAGAATGGATAGCTCAAATCTCTCACCCTATAAGTCATCATTAAGGCAAGCCAAAGAAACCCTTAAAAAACCCTAATCTTGTTCAAAGCCTATAAAAAGGCATTGCCTTTACCTAAAAAATCTCTATCCTTAGCTTTGTACCTAATTCCATATTTCTCTCTCATATCCCGCTTAAAATTTTTCTCGCTCTCTGCAGAAAAGTTTATCAGGGACGTCTCACTCTCTCATCTTTGATCTATCTATCCCATATTGTGAAAGAACTTAAAGGTTTAGGTTATGAAATTCTTCTCTCTCCTATCTCTCAATTATCGATTTATGACTAAGGGTTTTAGTGTTTAGCAAAAAGAAAATCTATATATCTCAAACTAGGTTGCTAAAGGAATTCACATAGGGTTTGAGTTTATGATCAAAGGGGTTCATGTTCTATTGATGTGGCTTGGCCTAAACTTGTTTTCCCGGCTGAGATTGAAGATTGATCATTGATCCTGCACCATCGAATGATGGTGACTTGGTGTGGGGTAATAAACCCGGTTGAGATAATCTTCGACACTTTCTTTTTATTTTTTGTCATATTTAATTATATTGTATTTATATTCTCAAGCATAAGAATTGTGGATATTTTATTTGTTTAAAAAAAATTAGTTTAATGACATCAAACTTTTTAAGATATTGGATTTGTTAGTTTTATTTTATTTGAAGCAATAATTATTATAATAAGACTACTTGTAAGTGATATTTGCCAAAAGAAAAGAAAATGGGTAAAAATAAAAAAAAAATATTCCCTGGCAAGATTGCATTAGCCTTTCTTTCAATTATTATTTTTAGTTTTTAAATTTTATTTATTTTTCATGATCATGATCTCTATGTTAGAGATTACATGTCCTTAAAAATTAAGTCTTAAAATCCATCTCAAAAATAGATTTATTAAGATGCCCATATTTCTACGTATGCAGGCTTGGCCGTATTTTATATACAATGAGATCATTTATCTTTATTACAAGGAGGTCATAATCACTCATACTCATTAGATGTCAAATTGTATGGTTTAGGTTAGTCATGAAATTCGAGAATTTTTCTTTTGAATTTTAAGTCTTTTCAACAACTCTCTTACAATCACCTAATCTGAAATCCAATAGATAATAATGATTATGACCTCATTGTATAAAAAGTAAATGGTCTCATTATATAATTTCCCAATTTTTAAATGGATTGAATATTATAAGACCATCTGCCTTATGCTGGTAGGAGCTGTTCACAACAATCCCCTAATTATTAGATGCAAATTCAAGAAACCTGGGATGTATCAAGTTTTTAATTTTAAGTGATGTAACTTTCAATTTTAAATTTAACGAGCAAGAGTAATTGTGACTTTCATATACCAAAAGCAATTATTTGTATACTTTCTAGGTTAAAAAATAGTTGAAATTCTAGGTATGATTTAGTAAATTTCCTTATGCATTAAAAATAATCTCTATACCAGTGATTTAAAAAATAAATTGGTGACCTGGATCGGACATCGCAAAAATCAATTCAGATTGGTAAATCGGTAGTCCAGATCACCATTTTACTGTGTGAAAAAAATAGTGAATCTGCAAAAAACATGTGCAAAAACAATGAATTGACCAAAAACCAGTCCGAATTAGTGAATCGACATTTTTACTATAGGAAAATGGCGTTTTTATTATAGCAAAACGTCGTTTTACTGTAGCGAATCACCTGTTCTCTTCTAGACCCAAATGATTTCCTACATATTGATAGAATCGGTATGACGTAACCGATTCTTGGGTCAAACTTGGTGATTCCATGGTGACCCCGTGTTTTTTAAGTCACTGCTCTATACAATGGGATCTCTGCATATTGAGAATAAGATGTCTTAGATTAAGAATAAACTCAAGACATAGGTGGTCAAGGTGGTAGATGCCACAAGATGATGACTTGAATTTCATTCCTATTATGGGTATGAGACTTTTTCCATTCTAATCTACCCCATGGATGGGATGATAAATATTCCTATATACATTACACATGGATTGTATATAATGAGATTATTTGATTTTAAGAAACTAGTCAATAACACAATTTATATGTAATACAAAAAGTTTAAAGGAGATTGTTTGATTTTGAGAAATTTTAGGAGATTAGCAACCTGGATTGGTGATGCAGTCTACTGAATTGGTAGGTAAAATATTTTTAAAAAATGGAAAAAAAAGTAGGGCCAGTTTTGATTGGTTCTCTGACAAAACCGACTGGTTATGTGATTTTGTCAGAGAACCAACCATAATTGACCATCTTATATGGGGAACCGGCTGGTTCTTTATATTTATCAATAACTAGTTTGCCCCCGACTAGCTTGAATCCAAATCAAGTGATTCTAATATGGATCGGCATTTTTTTTAAACCTTAGTATTAAGAGATACATATTATCAATTCATTTAGTTTTGATTTTTTCTTTTAATTGGTATGTGGCTGACCGAAAAGAAAGCAGATCAATACTCCAATTGTCAGACCCACTTCTAGTAGAAAACTTGTTAAAAGTTGATCTATCAATTGGAGTGTCAGCGGTACACTTTTATTAAAGGTGGCAATGGGCTGGAGCCATCCCTTGCCTTGGCTTTGCCCTTGTCTTGGCATGACCCTTGATGAAACTGGCCCTGGGCAGCTTAGGCCTTGTGAGGTGGCCCAAGCCGGCCTGCCCCTATGGGACTAGAGCGGGCAAAAAACACATGAAAAAAAAAGAAAAAGAAAAAAAAAACAAAAAACAAAACCCTACCTAGCAAGCATTGGCCCAAGCCCATCCTTTTGGGCCTACGCCAAGTTACCTGGCCCATTGACAACCCTAGCTTTTATGAAGAAACTGGTCCTCTTTCTATCATGGGTATTTTGAAGGAAAACATAAAAAACCAAAAAAGGCTGGAGTAAATGGTGAAAAATGAGATTTTTATATCACATTTTTATCTTTGTCAAAAGATTTTATCCTAACTTTTATGAAGAAGCTGGTCCGCTTTCTATCATGGGTATTTTGAAGGAAAACATAAAAAAATAACCAAAAAAAGGCTGGAGTAAATGGTGAAAAATGAGATTTTTATATCACTTTTTTATCTTTGTCAAAAGATTTTATGCATCCGAGGGAGTATAGTATCTATTTACTCCCCTAAGCGAAACCCAATCTAGGATTATTTAAGACACCAAAATTTGAGGATATAACCCCTTCAACGATATTCTATTTTTAATAAGAAACTCTCCAAAATGCGTATTCTATGGGCTTGAAAAATAATAATAATCAAGATTAAATAGAAACCGTCCTATATTTAAATGACAAGATCTGTGTTAAAAAACTTAGTTTTTTCTTTTGAATTTAATTATCTAATGATTTTTAGGTAGTCCCCAACAATTTCAGTTCAAAAAATTTGTCTATCGAAAAGAGGAAGTATACGTGCGCTCACGGGAGCATAGAATACGCGCTTTTTATGTTTCTCATTTGTAAACACAGGAGCAGAGAGAGCGATGCATGGGCATTTTGGTCACATGAAGAAATCTGGCATCTGCCCTCAAAAAGTGCGAAACATCCTGTTCTAGAGAGAGAAAGAAGGAAGACTGAAACATTTAGAGAGAGAGAGAGGGAATGACTCTGAAAGCTGCGATCCTTCGGCATATGAGAATTCCTGTGCGAGCAGGAGCAGTATCGACGAATGTGCCATCATTTCTCTGCAACTCCTCTCCATTTTCATTGAAGAAGAGATGGATGTCTTCTCACGATGAGGGGCTGGACAAAGAGGAGGTTATTGAGAGGGTTCTCTCT